AGCTCAAAGAATATATATATATATATATACATATATAAGAGCAATCTTTTTGAAAAAGAATTACTTTCTACCGGGCAAGTTTCGAGATGCGTTCTATCTACCTGCAAAAGTCCGTATTTGATCTCCAGCTCAAGCAGCTCGTACTCCTTGACGAAGGTTGAGCGATGGTGGCTCGTGGTCGGCGGATGGTTCTGCTTGCCTATCAGCCCCGAGGACTGCGCCGCGAGCGTGTTTGCCAATTGCTCCTTGTACGCCAGGACGTTCGCCAGGCTAGCTAGAACCGGCTCCGACGCGAAGGCCAACGTATCCGCACACTCCTCCACTTTGTACGCCTACATCGGTGTCAAATATAGCACATCGATCTATGGGATGGCTCGTGAAAATATTCAAAAAATGCAATAATATACATTTATACATTTCGACCGAAAACCTTTCGAATAAATTCGCGAAATTCGTTGCCATTCGTTTCGTTTTCAAATAGATCCTGTTTCCAATTACATTTGGTCGTGTGGGTGGGTGTTTGTAATACTTGGTGTATATATCGTATATTAAATTCTTATCTTAGAAAGAAAGCGGGAGAGATCACATTTCTTTCGCTTCCATTATCGTCTTCTCTCTCCGCCGTTTTTCAGGAAATTGTTCTTCTTTAATTCTTCTCTAATACTTCTGCGATTAATTTTCTCATAAGACATATTTTTTACATTTGTAAGATTTCTCGAAACAACTTTCAAGCGAGAAAAAAAACGATAAAATAAGAGTTAAGAAGAAAAATATATTAGTTTGACGATACTTAGGAAAGCTATACTGTCAGAGAAACATGAAAGTTGGAAAATAAACTTATATAAAGACTGCGTGTATGTGTGTATGTATATGTGTATCCGTCTTCACCGAGACTTCTCTCGACGAAACCATTTTACACTTTGATAGTCGACTTGTGAAATATATTCAAATGGGAAGAGAGAGGGACAGGGGAAACTTCTCGCACTTCACCTTGGCCTATATAATACACGAAGGTGGCGCGTTTATATACCTGCAGGAGCTTCGGATGCGAATATCGTTCCATCTGAGTGGCACCCGCGCGCAGAATATCCGTGACCGTTTCCCTGCGTTTCGGCTTGTGCAGCTTCTCCACGGAACGTTTGTCGAACAGGAAGATCGAGACCTCCTACAAACCAGCAATCCCGCTATTATCTCGCACGTGCTTTTCTCGATAATCGCAAGAATTTATCTTCGGAATGAAGCGAGAATGGTTTCGTTTTTTGTCCGGATACGAAATCGCACGAACTTATCTCGTTCTCACGCTTAAACCCTTAGATCACTTTCAGAATCGATTTCTCGTGAAATATCGAATTGGATTACCTCTAATCCACGATCCAATCGTCTCCTTGTCTCTCTATCTAGATGCTATCGTTAGAAAGAGTGATGATTGAATCGCGCAATTAAGGTGTTAATAACAAACACATCTCGAAAGAAATCGATCCTTGGCGATAATTAAGTTCTTTATCGCAAGTATTGCTTTTGTTTTTCATAAAAAAAAAAACAAAAAAAAACTGCGGAGTTTTTGCAGACTTTCGCGAATATTATTTCTAATTCAGAAAGAATTTTGATCCAATTCCGCAGTGGAAAAGATATATTTCTTAAAATTCTGATATTCAACTATATATATAATAAACAAATATATAAATAACAATAAATCTCACACAAATCTTTATGTGCTCTTTCATATTCTGAAAATAGTTTTCAAGTATACATATCTTGATAAATGTACTGAACGACATTCAATTGTCAAAACGGAACTTTTCAATAAGCATTTTACTTCCAGAAAGCGAAGGGACTTTTATTCTCAATAAATCTTTCGCTCTTCGATTTACGATAAAACTGCAATAACATTCCATCTCATTCGGAGATCGACTTCTCGTGATTAGATACGAATTTAGAATACCAAGATATCGAAGATATCGTCATTTCTTTTGCAACGCTAATTACCATTCTGTCCTTCTTCCGGTAGCCGTCGTAGATGCGCCAGACATTCTCCGGCCCGGCTGTGGCGGATTGTTTGCCGATCTCGTAGGTGCTGCGTATCGGGTCGGGAAGCAGGTCGCACGGTGCCGTGCTACTGCCTCTGGATTTCGCGAACATGATGCGGCACCAGGAAGCAAAGGCCCCTTAGTGGATCAACGTCGACCTCCGTTTATTATCTGTCAAGCCAAAATTCACGTCGAACGCGTTAAGTCTACCCACTATCGTTAACTCGCCGGAAGGGATAAAGGGGAGGCGAAGGGAAAAGGGAGCCTACTAATGTAATATCGAGAAAACAATCTCTATATTTGCTCATGACAAATGAAATATCGCAACGGTATATTCGCGAGGTTCGTTCTAATATGTAATATGTAATATGAGGGAGATTGTCGAAATTCGTCAAAATTACGTTGATTTTAGCATAGACTTCTATTTAAATATAATTAATTAGTTAATTCAACGTTAAAATTATATCGAAATATGATAATCGAAGATTTGTCAGCAATTTATACTATTTCAATGTCGATTTGATCAGAATTTCAATTTTATTTCAATATTTGGTTTTCGACGTTAGTTCAACGTCACATTAACTATACATATATTTCTGACTGGATTAGAATTACATCGCGATTAACGAATTGGGCAGACCTAGTATAAATGTTTAATTTTCAGCTCAGTTGTGGACAAAAGTCTTTTTCATTTAAATTGCAGTCTATCCGATTTCTACCTATTCATTTTTCAGTTCGATGTTTCATTTTTTCATTCATTTTCTTTGCAACAACTCTGTAATATAATATATCCATTTTGTAGATATATTTTCGTCCAACGATCCCGCCATAAGAATTCTTCGGAATTTGATCAGCATAAATAAGTTTGACAAATACTTAGTTTTCAAATACAATAAAAGATCTAATATTAATTTTGTATTTTTTGCACATTTCTGCTGTAAATATAAAAAGCAGCCGAATTTGTTTTTCCAATGATGGTAATGACTATATTACTAGTTTATATATGTATTTATTCCATAAACTTCTATATATTATACCTAAACTGCTAACACGGCTATGTCTTATATGGTGACATGTGAAACAAGGGCAGCCATTTATAATTGGGCAGATTGAAAGTGTATATATGTATAAGTATATATGTAAGTAAGTGTAAGAATATAAGTGTGTATTAACCCAACTCAATATATATATTCTGCCTAATTATAAATAGCTACCCTGGCTTTACATGTCACATCGCTGTTAGCAGTTTAGATATAATATATAGAAGTCTGTGGATTTTAGATATTATCATAGATGCGTGAAAATTTCTAAAAATCGACGATAAAAGAGAAATTGTTGCGTTTCTGATGTTCGAGAGCAAGAATTGAAGTTTTTAAATCTTTAAATTCCCTTAAATCTTTCCTTTTTCTTAAATCTTAAGATTTCTTTAAAATCTTTAAATTTCTTGCTCTCCGTCTTTGTACCTATCGTCAAACATTGTTTCTCTGATAAGGTAATTGCGAAAATTAAAAAAAGATTGAAGAAATTAACAGGCGGATTCTCTCGAAGGAATTAAAATCATATTTATGTCAAATGTTTAAAAAATGCAAAATTTTTTTATCCTTTGATTTATTTTTTCACATATTCCTCTTTTTATGTCATCGCGAAATAAAATTTATTTTATTTTATTTTATTTAACTTTCTAAAAGATGCGCACTATGATTTATAATCGATTCCTTTTTTTCTGCGAGGATTTAATCCGGGAAACCTTTGTACTTCGTGATTAATTAAATTTTCTCTTTGCAGTATTATATTGCATAAAATGTCCAAATACCTACGAATTCTTCGAATCGTGAATTGTATTTATCTACCTAGAGATACTATCGGTAGAAACTTTTTAATTATCGACACTGAAAGTTCCGTTCCGAAATTAAACGGGAATGAGATTTCGTTACCTATTTGCAGCTCTGCGGCTTAATTTGCAAACTCGTTTTTTCATCCGTGAATGTTAAGTAACCTCGTAAATATTGAACTTGTAAGCTCAATATTGAAACACCCCTGCGATTTGCAGTAAAATATTAACCGTTTACAATCGTTTGCAGTAAAATACAACTGTTCATTACAACCTAAATATTCATACAACTAAACCTAAAAAAATGAGCAAATTATATTTTTACAAAGGAAGAAATATATTCAAACTTTTTTTTTATATTTGTGCTATAAATAAAGAAAAAATTAAATAAGGTTAAATATATATATATAATATAAAATTAGGATTTTCAAAGGGGAATGTGTGACTAATACAATAAATAAAAAAGAGTGGAAGTGAGAGAAAGAGAAAGAAAAGTCTTTCATCAAATTGACATTTACTGTTCACATTATCATGACTCCGGCCATTTGAAAAATATAAACTCCTTTTTAAAAAAGAAATCGCGCGACAGAGACTATAAAATTTTTTTATAATACTTCTCTCTCTTCATAAAATTTTTATTTTGATATTCGAAGACTTTTCAGTGCTCTCGTCCTTCGAAGGGAGAGATATTCGTGAGTTATTATTCTCTCGCATTTCTCGCGTAGGAGTGAAGATTGTAGTCATAGATTTCCTTGACAATGTAGAAATACGAGCTTTCGTGTCGTTTTCAGAATACTCGGATATAATAAGAAAAGATTAAGAGTCCAAAGAAAAGTCGTCGTCGTCGACTATTCACGCCTAATCGCTTGGAAGCGCTCGTTAGTTATAGATAAAAAAGAATCAGTATAATATTCAAGCCGTGCTTAGAATCTGAAGTGCTTATGTACGATATAACGACCTAAAAAATATTTATTACGCGACGAAAACGGCGTATAAAGTTCTCGCTCGCACATACATACATACACATAGCCGGGAATCAAATTAATCGAGATTTACGATGATTCGTTCTGCGATCACTTCGTTCATCAGATGAGGTAAATATACAGAGTATCCCCAATTTAAATGTCAAAATTTTAAGAGCGTGTAGAGGACTGATAAACTAAGACAAAAAGTCCTTTAGAGATTTGCTAAGTTTTTGCTTCGTTTTAAAGAAAATCGCAAAAAATGAAACAAATAATTTTCACCAAAAAACTTAAAACAACACTAAAATTATTAGATTTATCAAAAAGTATTATAAAATTAAAATTGTAGAACATGGAATTAAGAAAAGAGAGTGAGTTAAAATCCTCCTAAGGTAAAATTAGATTAGAAACAAAGTTTCGCGTTGTCGCGTATTTATCTACAATCCTCTAATTTTACCTCAGGAGGATTTTAACTCACTCTCTTTTCTTAATTCCATGTTCTACAATTTTTATTTTATAATACTTTTTGATAAATCTAATAATTTTAGTGTTGTTTTAAGTTTTTTGGTGAAAATTATTTGTTTCATTTTTTGCGGTTTTCTTCAAAACGAAGCAAACACGAGCAAATCTCTAAAGGACTTTTTGTCTTAGTTTATCGGTCCCCTGCTCCTAAAGTTTTGACATTTAAATTGGGGACACCCTGTATATACTTATCGTTAATTACTCCTTATATACCTATATCTTATACAGCCAGATAAAGATTTGCACGCGAATTCTCTATTATATTTTTATTATAGTTAGGTAATAAAGATCAAAAGATTTATTACAATTACCTAATTATAAATAGAAAGAAATTTAAAAAAATTAAATGAAGTTAAAATGTGCACGATATAAAATGAGCGTTTTTAAAAAGAAGAAATCTCTTTAATCGTGTATGGCTAAATAAAAAAAAAAATGAAAGAGACAAAGAGAAAGAAAGAAAGAAAGTCTCTCATCAAATTGACATTTATTTTCCACATTTCCATGACCGATTATCTAATTATGATCAAAAAAAGAGAAAAAGAGAGAGGATCTTATATTCTTATCTTTTTAAATTGACGTTTATATACTGTGTCTGCATTTCACTATAAATAATCATTCAAATATAAATTTTTAAAAAAGTAAACTTTGCGAAAAATGTGGAGAGTTTAGTTTCTCTCTATAAAATTTAATTTTCGAAATGTTGAACATTTCAGGAGATATCTGGAAATATTCTTCGTTTTTTTTTCTCATCGTATAAGATTAGAGATCGTTTTCGCGTGCCTCCTTGGCAACGCGAAAATACAAACTCTCCGAAATCATATTGGTCTCCGAATCTTGAAATGACAAATAATACGATTGACGCCGTTCATTCCTCCCGCAAATGTTTGTAATCGAGAATCAAAAGATTGATATTATCCCGAATCGAGTTTGTTTGTCTGTATACAAATGTACAAGCGCGCGAATGACTTTTGTGTATGTATACAGTGTGTTTGTTTTGATAAATAGGAACGCGGACGACAAAGCGTTGAAAGATTCTTTCTCAAAAACAGTCAGTTAACACACGGATACACGATCGAGAATATCGAATCTGTCGATATTCATAACAGTTTTCGCGTTTCAGTTTGTTCATTATACCACGTGATTATTAATCGCTCCAATGTACGCTTATTTTTTAATTAATTAAACACTTTTTATACGCGTTATATAAGACATCTTCAAATACTTTAAGCAAATATATTTGATCCTGACACGATGTCAAATAAAAGAGGAGTGCCTAGATTAGATATCGCAAGACATAATTTTTAGAGAATTTAATATTTATAAGTAAATATAATCAGAACGAAAGAAAAAAAGAAAGAGGGAAGAAGAAAGAGAGAAAGAAAATGTCGAATGGAAGAGAGGACGATATATTTCTCTCTTCTTTGATTCTCCCTCTTTTTTAAGGACTTTTTATGCTGGAAATATGATTCCTGATAAAAGCGTCCTTTGCTTCAAACTTCGTGCGTTCGTTTCATTCCCCTTCCTTCCTTCCACCGTGAGAAATGAGAGAGAGAGAGAAAGAGAGACATTCCTCTCTTGTCTCTCGCGCTCTCACTCTCCAGGATTAATGCACGCGATGGTAATTTTAATCGCGTCATCACGATGACGAACTGTGAAGGACCATAAGTTTTTGTCAGATTGACGTTAACGGGCGTTATCCGCTCCGGTAAATCGATATAAGCGCGCGAGAGCCGTTAACGTTAGCAAGCGCACCCCTCTAATCGCACCCCCGATCTTGGAAGCTCGGTTCTCCCCCCGCGGCGACGTGCGACGCGTTATCCTGTCGGATTCCCGGTGTGACCCCAATCTCGCTCCTGTTATTCCCGCGCGTAATCCTTCTCGCTCACTACACACCGTTTACGCATTTTCGCGCAAATGCGAAACGCGAATCCTGCAGCTAGCGCGATCATAAACGGGGCCATAACGGGATCCTAAGGAAGACCATGACCCGCGCGAAATTCCGAGGAGCTTGCAACGAAATAACGCACGATTAAACGTAATATATATATATAGGCGGCGTATCGCCGTCGACGGCGACGTCGACGTCGACGCTGACGACGGCTGCGGAGGAGGATCACGCGCGTGCGCGCGCACCCTCCGCCTCCTGGCTCTCCGCCGGCGCCTGCCAGGTCCTCGCCCGGCTCCGAGCTCAGGGTGTAGGCCTCCGCGTTGCCTGGAAATTATAGGTCTGGGTTGCAGGGTAGATAGGTTGGTAGGTTGGTAGGTTGGTAGGTAGGTAGATATAGGTAGAGATAGGTGTTGGATATATACGCGGGGGACGTGGATATGGGTGAGAGAGGCGAGAGAGGAGTATGGGGGATTGATGCGGGATATACGGGAGTTTTCCTCCCTCCTGCCGAAAAATCTGCCTGCCTGTCTGTCTGCCTGCTCTCTGCCTGTCATCGATAGGCTCGACCGCCTCTTCTACCCCGAGACGTCACATAGCGATGAGCGATTGTTCGTTGACTGGCCGGCCGGATGTGATCCGACTCTAATTGACTTATTAACTGAATCACGAATCTGACGAGGACAGATCGATGGTTCTCTTTGACTCTGGTTTGAGCGATCGCGCCGAAAACTTGTGACTCTCGTATAATTTTTGTCTTAAACGTTTCGATTATCTTGGAGTTTGCGTTCTTGCTCCATTCATCACTGTCGAGATGCAACTTTAAAACATGTTTGAAAAATTAAAAGAGAATATGCATTTTATACATCATTAATCGGCTTTGATGGAACATTAAAAAAAAAAAACTTTAATTTTATAAAGTATACACAAAAAAAAAAGAATAAGATTTAATAACGTAAAAATTATATTTCGATTAACGAATAAGATTCTTGAATTCTTTTTCAAACTTTTTACCGGATTTGGAATTTTTATTTGGACGCAATTAAAAAGTTTAAGTCGGAGAAGGGAATGAGAGACGCGGTGCAAAAAAAAAAAAAAAAAAAGCGATATGAATTTGAAACTTGGAGAATATATCACGAAATCGTGTTCGAAATAAGTCTGGCAAATTAAGGGCTCATCTCGTTCCTGCGTTGAACTCCTCGGATCTCGTTGCGTATATACTCTGACGTCACACGTACCGCTCCATCAGAAATACGAGTCACGGTTGCATCTATAACTCCGCATTGTAACAAGTTTGTTGCGAGTCAACGAACCAATCAATGAACCGATCTAATTTCGTCGTGATCGTGCTATTGTGTAGCGGCGTCTATTGTATATCCGGCCCGATCAGATCTCTTCCACATGAATCCGTTTTCCCTGACGATTGTCACGGCGTGTCGGCCGGCAAATTTGTGCCCCAATGACATTTCGGGCTCTCTCGTAAAATCATGCCGGAATTAATCACGCGCGTGCTGTCGGCTCGCTTCGACTGTAATTCAATTGGGTACAGTTATGCAGAGAGAAACCAATTACGAAATGTGATTTTTTGAATGCAGTTATTTCATAGAAGAATATTAAAAATAAAATTTCATGTAGCAGGATGTTGAATCAAAAATAAATTGTTTTTTCTGATACTTTCTAATGATTTAGTTATTTATTTTTATCTTTTATATATGTATACAGGGTGGCCCCGAACGTTCCAGCCAGACTTTGAGATCTAATTGGGCAAATCGTACGGAAAAAATTCGATATTGTCAATTTCTAAACTTATATACTTATATATATGTAAAAAGAATGAATCTACGATAAATATTCAAAAGCTTAAAAATTAGGCTTATATATATGTAAAAAGAATGAATCTGCGATAGATATTCAAAAGTCTAAAAATTGACAATATCGATTTTTTCCATACGATTGTGTTCAATTAAATCGTCAAATACGTTTATTAGATTTGTAAGAGGCTCGCGTATTTTTATATTTGTAGTACATTTTTTGTTGAAAGCTAGCTTAAGGTATTTATATATATCTTCTGAAACAGGATTAATTATAATTATACAATCAAGTAGGTGTAAGTATGTTTGCAGCGTCAATATTTATAATTCAAAACTCAATTATTGGCACGCGTAAATAGAGAGCAAAAGTAATTAATATGCAACGTATTTCAATATATTGGTAGATTGTATTGTATTTTAAGCAGATTCTTGGATTCGATGGATTTTTGACGCCTATATTTTCTGTACAAAGCGCCGAGCTGGCTTATTATATTCGTCATCAATTTTTGAATGTCAATATAGGAAGTTTTACCAGGCTCAATTTCTTAAATTGAAATTTTCTGGAAGCAAAGTTCACTCTCTTCAAATTAACGAAGAATAATATCCCGTGATTTTTCTGAAGCTTAATTTACGAGAGAGAGAGCTTTTCGTTTTCGACGGGCTCTTGAAAATTATCCGCATTACAAGGTATTTTTAACGAACCAGCAGTCCATACTGTGAATTATTGCGAAGAATACGAAATTAGGGCGCGATTCAAATTCACTGTGTTCAAACGCATTATCGTGCAAGTACCATTTTCAGGACGCTCACGTCCGGAGAGTAGCAGCGGACGCTTCCGCTCGTATCGAACCGTTATACTGGTTATACAGATACGATTACGCGCAGGACAATCGGAAATAGCGGCGCAATATTTGCTAACGTTATTAGGATTCTCCCGTCCGTGATCGACAAGGCTGAGGGTGATGATGCGTCATTGGACGATGACAGGCGCGGTTCTCTGAGCGAATGAGAGGCTTATTGCTTTCTCTATATAAAGTAAACTATCATCCAACACCATTAGGATACATTTTTAATGATATTAGATTGATTAGACAATCTCGAATCAATTTTTAAGAAAAAAATTGAGAAAGATCGTTTTATTCCATTTTTTTTCGCACTTAAATAAAAATTTTGTAGATGTAAAATTTATTAAAAAATATAATTTTATTACATATCCATTTTTGACTTTTCAAAGTTTGATTCGCAAAAATAAATCTTCTAAATTATTTATGGAAAAATTATTAATGCCTTAAAATGTCCGAAAATTGATTCCAAATTGTCAAAAGATTTCGTCATTAAAAATTGTCTTGCAGTTTTGAGACATTCTGTTTAATAAATGGCCGTGGATAAAAAAGTTGCAAAAAGTGTAAATTAAAAAAAATCACGAAGATAATTTTCATATTACTATCCCATTTATGTCCATAATCATACCTGATTATCTAATTTATTCGATATAATAGACTCTATTACAGACAACAATAAATATCTGATTATCTAATCTATTGATCTTTAACCTTTGGTTCTCGAGAGATAATAATTTTCCGCCTCCATATCTTCGTTTACTCTATAAATGATTAAAGTACAGGTTTGAATTTCCCTTTATCTACGTAATATATACGATAACGAAATGACATAACCCATCATATTTTCAATTGATCATATTTTATTTTTGAATCAAGATGCAACAATTTATTTTCGCAATATTTTCTCTTCGTAAAGAAGTAATCACAGAGAAAAACAATCTTATTTATTTTTTTTTTTAACATCAACCACGCACTCAATAATAAATTTAGTAAAATGTTAAGAATTCATTTGTCTACGTTTCCTACAAAGTGTGATTATCATTTTCCCCTTTGTTTCGTGAATTAAACTTCAAAACGTGAATACAAAGATGCTTTATTAAAAGACTATGATGGAAAAAATCAAGGAAAACAACTAACCTTTGAAAAAAAATAGTAAGAATTATAAAACAAGATTTTAAAAGATTAAAAAAAGAATAATTTTTGTGCAACAAACATAGAATGCATATCAAGCATAAGATATTATTCGACACTCTATTAAATATAAAAATACTAACCGTGAGGATACATCGATAAAAAATAATAACGTTGAAACATTGATCTAACCGCAAAACACTTAACCGCAAAACTAACCGCATCTTTGTATCAAATTAATCAACATTTCCCGATTGCATAAAATTCGGATTATCGCAACAAGTTTGATTAAAATTTATACATTCGCCCCCCCCTCCTCTCCTTCGCGCCACATAAATTTGTTTTAATATCGCTATCTTGTAGCCGTAATCCTTTCAGTAAACCGTCTTTCAAATTGCGCGACCTTTGCCTTTATCTTAAACTTTCAAATATGCTTCTAAAGTTTGAAACAGTTACCGTAGTATATGCGATAATAAATACGATTCGATTTGCATAATGAGGGACGAAAACTTCTGAGGAAGATTCAAGAGCACGCATTTTCGCGAGATATTGTTTAACGATGACAGATTACAGAAAAGGCAATTCATGAAATTGTTATGGATGAAAAAATTATGAAAAGCATCGGACGAAAAAAAGTGTCGCGACGAAAAGCATTAGAGAATTGATTTGCATAAAATATATATATATATATACATCTTATGAAAAAATATATTAATATATTACATGCACACATTTTATTGTATTATTTGTATTATTATATAATTTACATATATTGTTCACAAGCGATATATCTCCGAAGGTAGAAATGAAATCGATGGATATATATATCGTTAGATCAATATAATTACAAATAATAACAAAGACTTACCATTTTAAAATTATGAATTTTCAATTTCAATATGTTATTGTTATCAATTCTCTCCGAATTGAATGCTGTTCAATTGAGTCTCGAATGGATATGGATATCGATGTTGAAAAAAATGCGTTTTATCGCTCCTGAAATTGTAATTATTGCGTCATTATTATAAATTGTCGGATCTGCATTTAAAAGACATTTAAGTGACATTTAACGATAGATAAATGCTCGATTTCCGTAAATGCATTAAATTGTTTACAATGGAACAAAACCGCGAATATCGAAAATTACCGACAGTTTATTGTTTATTTGAACGCCGATAAATACGATACGCGAAATCCGAACGAAATATATACACGCGGAATGCGAATTTATTTATATTAATAAAAGAGGCGTTCAACGTGTTGCACGAAATCGCAAAATTATTTCGAGATTGTGTGGGTCGTATAATTTAAAAACAGTTCCCAGAAACAAAAAAGAGACGGAAAATGATGACACTCGTATATTGCCGTCTAATATTCACAGAATCTTTTAGAATATTGAATTTTAAGTAATTCCAGAAAAAAATTTGAATCATGAAATCTCTTACCTTGTTAGTAGAATATCACGGTTTAATATCGATAATTTATTTAATATTACAAACGTACGGCTGGATATATGCGGACAGAGAGAATGAGAGGGAGAGGGAGAACGATTTTTACGTTCAAATATGGCGGAGTATGTAAATACCATAGACTTATATATAAATAGATTGCACACTGCACACTCTTTTCTATTGTCCTATGTTGCTAGTGTTGCTTTCGGGCGACCTATGGGAGAGCGCAATTGACAAGCATCTACTGTAACTGTATGCAGTAACTCTTTTTGAATAAATCTATGGTAAATATTTATAGAGTTCACATAAAACGCGCGCGATTGTTGGCTATTTGAAAGTTTTCAAGATTGCCTCTTCGCGCTTTCCTCTTCGCGCGATTGAAGATTTATGCAGACATAAATAAGTGCGTCATCGCGTAATACGCAGACGCAGGAAAATATATCTGACGTTTAATGTTTCGTACATACATACGTCCGGTCGATCGTATCGCGTTGCGTTTTTCCTTCTCCCATATTACTTAAAACGTTCGCGATTGATCGATCTTTCCCACAGACTTACAGACATATATACTTGCGTATGCATCGCGTGATTATGCAAGCTTGTCTATACGGGTTTTTATCATCGATCTCTCTTCCGCGCGCGCTATTTTCCTAACCTCTCGACCCTGTCTCTTTCGCTCTAGAACGACTCTTGCGTATGTTGTTTCGTCGCCCGGCATTTCCCGGTGATAGCTGATCTTGTCGCTGATCGAGTCCGTTAAAAAAAAAAACCAGAAACATCTTCCCTACTCGCCTGCGCCTAGCGCAGGACGTCATATTCGTACGCTGTATGTAACTGTCAATTGTATAACCTAACCTAACCTAACCTCAGCATCACGCGACATATATATTTCGGATAATTTATTTCAATACTCTTTCCATTTCCAGCACAAACACTATAGAGAGTAGATCCGATGAGTCCGAAGATGAATTTCCAAACAATGCAAGACGGAGGTTTGTTCGAGATACAACCAGGTTAAAGGTGAGTTATCTGCAGTAGAATAATTTTATTTTCGATTGAATACGTTGTTTGGAAAATACTTTCCTCTCTTCATCTTGTTTTCCTTTGGAGAGCCAAATATAGGCAAATTCCATGATATATATTTATCTATTATTGCTCTTTATACTTTTCTAAATTTTTGATATCGATTATCTTGCATATTATGTGCAATTTGCATCAATTGTAACTTTGTGCGATGCTTTTTAGGAAAACGATATAAATTACATCATTAAACAGGCCTCTGGAATAGGGCATAGTTCTGACCAACAGAATGTGTCTATCACACCTGTGATACAAAGGAGAGCTCTTAGGCCTGATGGTTTTAGCACAAATGAAAAATGTAGATTAAGAAATAGTCTTTTACCAAATAAGCCATGTACGATACAGAATTATGATACTAAAGTATTCTGCGGTTTATATTCTAAGGATGGGAGGTTCTTCATCACTGCCACTCAGGGTAAATTTAACATTTACATTTATCATGTGTTATTTCATGTGAGAAGTCTCATCACTCATAAATAGCAATTGAACTTATTGCAATGTACAATTTTATGACTTTGCGATAAGTTGTCGATTGTTGGTTCATGTTTAATGTATATAATTGTTTGCAGACAAACAGTTGCATGTATATCGCACACATGGTGACAGATTTGACTTATATAAAGAAATTCAGGCACGCGACGTTGGTTGGAGTATTCTGGACTTAGCGTTTTCTCCGGATGGTAGATATATCGCGTACTCGAGCTGGTCGGAAAGTCGTAAGTATATTATAATTACGCAATGTGCGTTAATCGTTCTTATGCAATATGCATTTTTCTTATATTTTTGACAGTGTATCAATGCCCTCTCTTTGGGCGCAGAGATGATGCCCTGGAAAAGCTACAATTAAGACCAACAGAACGACGATTCACCGTGTTTTCGATAGCGTTTTCACACGATGGGAAAGAGATCATTGGTGGCGCTAATGATGAATGCCTTTACGTATATGATCGCGAGCTTCATCGGCAAGTTTTGCGGGTCTGTAGAATCATTAGCTAGACAGAAGAAGATGTATTCACGACTCTTTACATTGGCCTTATATTAGCCATTAATTTTTACAGTTTCGAGGTCACGACAAAGATGTCAATACTATAGCTTTTGCTGATAACACTTCACAAATCTTCTACACTGGTAGCGACGACGGATTATGTAAGGTATCATCGAGCGGAGAATTTTTTTTCTTTCTTTCTTTTTCGAATGATATAAGTCGAGTGAGAGAGATCAAGCACATTAAAATATTCGATGAAACTAACACATTAATATTATCCAGAGAATTATCCAGAAAGGCCTCTCTATATTAGTCTTCAATGTCTTTCTATTGGTTTAGATATGGGATAGAAGAACGATAAATGAAACTAATCCTTGTGCGGTTGGAGTGTTGGCCGGTCATAGCAATGGAATCACATATATCGATTCACGCGGTGATCAACGATATTTAATATCCAATTCTAAAGATCAAAGCATTAAGTTGTGGGATGTACGCAAATGCTCCAGTCATAGAACCGAGCAAATTGCTAGACAGTTTGTTGATCGTCAGGACTGGGACTATAGATGGCAGCGCATGCCTGAAATGAGTAAATATTCATTGAAGTTAAATAAGAAAAATGATTGGGACATTCATTGTTTCTATTTTTAAATTACATTTAGATATGTTTAAGATATCTCTAATAATAATTGATCGTTATGCGCAATTGTCAAGTATATATACGGTATTTTGCTGTTCCAGCACGGGAACCGCAAATTTTAGACGGCGACACCAGTGTTATGACGTATTACGGTCATTGTATCCGTAAAACCCTGATACGTTGTCGTTTCTCGCCAGAAATTACAACCGGCCAAAGATACATTTGCACAGGAGATTCGAGAGGTCGGCTGATCAGTAAGTTTTGTTGATTGATCTGTTATACGCAGAATTATCGCGGAAATGAGCAGTCTGGTTTTACATGCTTTCTTTTTTCTCAATTCCAGTATACGATCTTCTAACGGGGAAAATCGTGCTCAATGTAAGAGGTCATAGGGGATGCGTCCGTGATGTTAGCTGGCATCCTTATAATCACATTATCCTTACCTCATCCGTGAGTAAATCATTGTAAATATGTTTCATACATCTCGAAACGAAAAAGAAGTTACAACTACCGCCAACGAGTTTTTCTCTGGGATATGTTAATAAAATTTTATACGTATTAAAAAAAGGCAGGAAATATTTTGAAATATATACAATTCTTTGTTCAAGGAAGAGATAATCGAAAAAATAATGGGAGATATTTTTTTACAGTATTATTCGAGAGAGTTCTTCGCTTTTCAGACACTTACAAAAAACTTACTTTTAACATGTATATGTGGATTTGCAATATCTTTTAATTCGCCATCCAAAATACAAACTATTTATTATGATAACATAATTATGCTATTTATAATTATATTTTATGCTTATAGTGGGATGGGAAAGTAGCTAAATGGATCTACAGGGATGATATGAGTGGTAATGTGGACCAAGAAGAAGAGGAACTGGTCATTACTAATCCCCCTACACTATTACGGCGAAGTGAAAGAATAGCTGGACAAAGAAGAGCATGCTAATTCGTATAATACCGAATTAGCATGCTCTTTTTTGCCCAATAAAAACAAATTTGTTTCGAAAGGCAAGGAGAATAGAGGAAATGGCTATCGATGACAGATTTCGCTCAAGTTCTGCTTTTGACTTTCCGTCGAGAATACAAGTACTCGGTGTACAAGACTGAAGAACACGCTTTCTCCCGTCCGTGTTTACGTATTTTGCGGGAAAATAATTCTCGTTATGATCACTTTGTGTCATTGATACAAGTTGAGCAAGAACACCGTTACTCAATCTGTTGTGATGGCACGATCTATTCACGCGCTACGCATATCTCTCTTCCTCCTCTCCTTTTCACATTGTTTACAAATGTTTTACACTGCAAAGAAGCGATGTATTTTTATTAAGTCATCATTTCGTTTTTATGAAACCTTTGACGAATTATTCCATCAAACGACATTTTTTTCACAATATTAATCGGTTCTTTTTCCTGGATTATGACTTTTATATTTGGACTGTTTGGATATAGCACTCGAGCTATAAGTAAACTAAAATTATCTCTAAAATGTTTTCCTCTTTTCGAACATATCTCTATAATATAAAAGTTCGCCTCAAAAAGGATCGCCCCAGCGTTCGTTTTTAATTATGTAGATTAGCTTACATTATCTTATTATTGTCTCATTAATAGAAATTACATTATTATAGTCTCATTAATAGAAAGGTATTTGGGACCGATTGTATAACTTCTTCGCCGAGATGAGAAAGGATAAAAACACGAATGAGAGAAAATAAGAAAAAACATTTTTTAGCATTAAAACTGATTAGAGAGCTGCTTAATATCAGTCATACATATAGGTAAAGGCTCAAGCTTCTGCTCGCATAAGAATAAAAAAAGGAATGTTTTTTTGTTGAGAAGAAACAAAAGATTTCTTTAATAAGATAATAGTGTATAATTAGTAGTTATTTTATCGTTTCATATTGTATAGAGATATTTGTTCGCGATTATAATATGCGATATCACTGATAAAAGTACAAATCTCGATGCTTTCAATATTAAATATGACGTATTTTTCGCACAATATTCCAACTTCGATCAAAACTAAATAATTTTGCATTACTTTTGAATAATGAAGAATGATGTATACAATTGTAAAGCAACCTCGTTTTGTACTACGTTTATTCTAAAGCTTTAAAGTGCGCGCACATGCACGTACGTATACACAAGCGATTTTTTTATGGAATTATTTTACTGCGGCGTCAAATAAAATATCGTATTAATTTGTATGTATATGTATACTTGAAATAAAAATCGCCTCAAGGGGTGAACACACAGTTAGTTTAAAATTATTAAGATTACTGTGTAGCGAGAGAAAAAAATCGCTTGTGTATGTGTATGGAATTTTAATAATTAATTTTTTAACTTCATTATTTCGAATATTAAGAAATATTAAGAAATAAGAGACTATTGGGCGATCCATAATTCCGAACCGATTGTTAAGCCTTCATAATTAATGTACATTTTTATCTCAGAACATGTAACATATTGTTGGTTTAATATAATACTGATTATTATATGGCTTGGCATTTTAATATTATATTGTGAACTTTTATCCAGGATTTTTAAATTTTTTTATTACGCTTAAAAAATGTAGAATTGCATGCACATCCCCACACATAACTTTAAAAATATTTCTTAAAATTAATTTCTTTTGAAAAAAGTTATTTGAAAAATAATTTTACTATATATTACTGTATTTATAATATATACTATACTATACTATATATATATATTTTATACAATTTTACTATGGCATACATTTAACAGAGCATGATTGATAATGTCATCCTAGCAAACACACTTTTATAATTATGTTATAACGGTTACATAACTCAGTGTAACCGAATATAACAAGTAATATTACAGGATTGTAACATGTAATACACTCGTTCCTTGTAATTTCCCACTGAAGAAAGCAACAAATTTTATATAGCAGTTATACATTTAATTATAACAATTATATAATGTAATATTATTGATACATTAAAAACATATATAATAAAATTAAAATATATCAGATGGTATATAACAAAAATATAACAGCTGTTATTATAATTTTATACTCCAACATTATATAAGTGTTATAATATGTTTGCTCGGATTCTATTGACGTTAATGTCATTTTATTGACGTATTAACATATAATTTTAAGCATTAGCATATATTATGTAATGCGAAATCCAATACGCGGGAAAGTAAAAACACGTGCAACTCGCACTCGTGTGTTTCTCTATTCTGCAAGATTTTTGAACCAGTGTGACCTCACAGAAGCCGCGTAAAACAAGCGATAATTGATTTAACTCGCGGAAAGACAAGAATTTGGAAGCCGCACAAATTCTGATGGCAATCGATCGATCGTGATGTAACTTGCGAATGTTTGTGTCGGCGATTATGAAAACGTGGCATACGTAAAAATTTTATTTTTACTGACACGTTAAAATTAGACACATTTTTACCAAAACTCGAATAGATTATTAATACCCTGGAGAGTTTTACGAATTGTCTCTTACGTGACAAGAGATTTATTGAAAGTGCGCGCGAGGGAACCTTTATCTTTATGTTGCGCCTTAACTGCACATTTTGTTAGAACCTTGAAAATTATTTCTCTCTCTCTCTCTCTCTCTCTCTCTCTCTCTTTCTCTCTCAAACGCACAGAGATCTAATTATCTCAGTAAAACCGAGAGTATCTCACAAAACCACACATACGGTTCATACGTATATAATCGTCGTCGAGACGCGTTTCCTCTCCCAAGTTTTTACATGAAAATCGTTTGAGGAAAGCATCATTCCGCGAAGACAAAGGCGAACGGATCTTCGCCGCTTTCAGATTTAGTTGCGCGCGAAATCAAGATCTATTGTTGGTGGACGAAGTGCACATGCGGCGATATATTTCCCGGATGGTCCTTGAGCGCAATATCGAGGGAACCTTGAATGAGATTCTTCCACAAGAACGAACGCGACTTATTCGGGTCTATGCCACTGTGAAGAAGACCGACGACTATAAATGGAGTTGCCTTAATTTCCAATGCGATGGCATATTTACGGCGCTATAATTCTTTCGCACGTTTTTTCCTTTTTTTTTTTTTTTTCAATTATCCATCGCAATTACGATGACGCGATGTAAGAAGACAGTGCTATCTGGAGATAATCGAGGATTAAGATAAAAAAAAATCTGCCCACGCGAAGGAATTAAAGAATTTATTGAAAGTTGAAAAGATGAATGTGGATTATCTCGAATTATTTTATTTTAATTGTATCTACAACAAAAATTTAACAACTTCTGAGAAGACGAAATTCCGCGATATACAGGGTGTATCTGAAATGATGCACTAAACTTTAGGAGCATATTCTAGAGGTCAAAATAAGACTTTTTTCCTATGAACACATGGGTCCGCAAATAAATCCTCCTCCGAGCTAGAAACCCCTAAAGTTTGGGGAAAAAATTAAAAATTGGCTGTATTCCAGAAAAAAAAAATTATATCGCCGAATAACCGCAGTCAAATTGAAAGCAGAAAATGTCAAATAAGACTATATCGGGTGCTTTCCATTTAGTGACTCAAGTCGACACAAGTATCATTCTATCTTCTTTCAATACCAGTGAACAACAAAGATAGAATGATGCTTGTGTCGACTTGAGTCACTAAATGGAAAGCACCCATTATAGAGATAAAGAGGATGCTATATGCACAATAATATTTTATTGTACAGTATGAATATATGTTTAGCATGCAAGAATGGGGAAGTTCGAATTCTGCTAATCTGCTATTTTTCTTATATTAAGTCAAACGGTCAAAAAAGAAAGAAACATACATCGATCGATCGATATTTCCCACATTGACGGCATCGTCGAAGCTATCATTTTTATATGATTGTCCAGTAAATTCGGTGCATTTATTAGAGCGATAACGCGACGACGTCGATTAGGTAAGTAAGCTTCCCTCCTCTTTATCCGGGTGACTATCAGCGGCCTCCCGCCTCCCGGATCTGCCTCCGAGAAATTGCCTCAAGGTAATATGGGTGGTGGTGCACGCGGCGAAACGTAAATCCTCGTCTCTCTCTTGCCCTTTTTTTTTCTCCACGCGGTGATCGCGGCGCGACGCGGCCGCGATTACGCGAACGTAAAGCGATGTAACGCGATAAAAGCCAGATAAAAGACACTCGCGAGTCTTCCCGATCGCGAGGCGAGGACCGTCGATGAATTGTCAGTCGTGCAACGATCGTTAATCGCCGCGAACCGGATGATAGACGGCCGATAAGAGGGACATTATCATCATCGGTCCGCGCGATCAGTGTCCCCACATCCGCGAAGATACACCTGCGACTCTTGACATACAGCCCGGTAGAAATCACTCACGCAGGTATGTGCACGCGATGAATTGATAGATGATCGCTCTTCGAATCTTCATCTCTTTCCTTCCCTCTGTTATCTCTGTTATCCTTCCCGCGAATCGTCGTGAATGAAAATCAAAATAAAGAAGAAAAAAAAAAACAAATAGGGATTCACGTGAATCACATTTATCCGCGTGTTTTGTCTAATTATTTCTTTTTTTTTTTTTTTAGCGTGAAAATTGATCAGAAAAGATATATTCCAGTATATTATTATTTTAGTATTATCTCCGTTTCCGAGACGTTTCCAATTACGCGTGGAGAGATTATGGTGTCAACTTCTTTCTTCTTTAAATTACGCTCATGTTAATACAGAGAGAAACCAGATATTGTTGAATGAAATCGGAAACTACAAAGAGTTATAAAAAACCGAAGAGAGAGGGTACAATATATGCTGCTTCAATATATGTAGAATATATGCAGAAATAATTTATGACAAATTCAAACAATCGTTAATCAACTTGCTAATAATATATAATTATAGATCAGATAATAGAAATATATATTATTTAATGCAGTATAATAATTTACAAGCGCGCTTTCCAGACGAATGATTAATGTGTATGATATGTCACGATCATTTTCCACGCTTCGGACTACTAATTTGAATCGCAGCTTAGATGATTCACCGAATTGCAATCGGCCAAGCATTTAAAAAATGTACTATCAATCTAGAACGGACATCCATTAAGCTAAGAAGAAGAAGAATCAAGCATTCTCATCGTTCACGCCGAAAACATGGCGACCATCGAGTCCTGCGAAATCAAGTCAATTTCCAAGAGCATAGGCCGCAGAAACGTCGTTCCTATAATCCACATTCGAGGAACGCATTACGAGATTGGCTTCGATATCGTAAGCATCAAACATTTACGTAGATCTTGTTACGTAAATCTCTTCAAATTTGTACGATTTTTCCGCGAACTCGAGTGTGTGTAAAACAATTTTGTCTCATTTCATTTTCTGTGTATAATGATTATTTTTTACTTCATCAGTGTACGATAATCATTCGTGTCTCTAATTTTAAATTTAATGATTATCGCATTTTTATTTAACATAATGATCGTTTTACTTCGATTTATTTCGAAATTATACTGTTCAAATAAATGAATCAATTGTCTTGTTTGTATCTCTCTAATTTAAAAGAAAATGAAAATGTCTCTCATCTGTCAGCGGCTGATTATATTTATTAGTTTTTACACGATCATAAATAGTACAAGTGACACATATAACTCACCGCTAATAAGAATGCGAATTTCTCATGTCCAATCGGAATAAATAAATTTCAACATATGCATGATTGGATACAAAAATGCATAAATAATCAGAATCGGAACGAGCGCGGGGTAGGACGTAATAATGCGGGAATAGAGAGAGAAAAGAAGGGCGTTGTGACGTTCACCCGGATTAAATTCTCTGCATGCATTATTGCACGCGACATGTACGGCCGATCTATATATCATGCCGCGTATCTGTTTGATTTTTTTATGCTCTCGAGATCGAGGAATTTTGTTGCTATTGCTCCAGATAAAACGACGATAAAATGAGATTTCAACGAGGAAATTGAAATGAGCAGAATCGATCCTATCAATAATAAAATTCTTCTATTTTAGATTACTCGACGTCAATATTTTTCTTATTCTTTAATGTACATTTTTAAGGAATTCCGCATGACATTTCTTTCCAAGAAATGCAAGTATTCTAAATATAAATTTATAGATAAAAAGAGAATTAAAATCTTGATAGGGAGAATTTATTTTAATCTCTCTAGTTTAATTGAATCTTTCCTTTTTTCGCGACGTATCTCTTTTTTTTTTCTGCATCAGGGACGCACTTTCGCCAAGATGATTCAGGATTTTGTGGATATTTATCCACCATTGAACGAAACCTATCTACCCCTGTTTGCTACCGAGAAGGGCAAGAATGTTTACGAAGAAACCCTTGACGCGGTAAAGAAACAGTTCCCGCAATACGTGAGGGAAATCGAGGGAACGGCGGACGGTGCAAATATACCATTCTATAAGGTATGTCCCTTTATAAATAAATATAAATGAAAAAGAGGGGAATTAATTGATAATAAGAAGGTATTAAAAAAGACAATCGTCAGTTGCGCAGCCAAGTTTTGATTTCGTGAGAAAGAAAGATTTGAAGACTTTACAATTATAAACCTGGAGAGAAGAAAAGAGGAAATTGTTAATCCCTAATTGCACTAATTAAGAATCTATTCTCTAATTAAGAATCAATTAATGATTATAATTTGATTTCAGAATTTAAAAGTTTCTTTTTTCTGTTTATCTTAATTATTTCAAAATAAATTTAAAAGTCGCGAGATTGTTTGAGTGATAGTAACAATTATTGATAAATAAAGGTAATAAAGATTTTTTTTATTTGTCCTTCGCGTGCGCAGAGGATCGGAAAATTTCTGAACATTAAACAAACGCGTAACATGTAACATGATCATTACAGCTGTTTCTGATGCATCTGGATGACATTATTTCAAACGTCACGGTTGGTACCCAAGGAAATTCGCTTCCAGTCGGCTGTTCGACTATCATATGCAATCAACCAGGATCTGTAAGAGTGATAATAAATCAAAATAGATTAGTGCATCTCACCGATATAGAATAAGCTCTCATTAAGATAAGATATCTCAGTCGAACATGTGTTCTGCGCATTGTTTAAATATTGACAATAATGAAGATGTACATAATCATCACATCTATATAAGGTGTAATAATTTTATTACAACTGATACTTCAATATGCAATAATCATCTCTGTTATTATAGTAATTATAGTAAGAAAATATTTTCTAATATTAAAGCGCTAAACAGACACGCATGAATTAACATGGAACGTGAATTTTTTTTGATCATGCAATTATGTACATATTTTATATTATTAATTAAACAGAATACGCGAATTACGCTGTTCTTACGCTTTCTTGACTACTGATTTCTGCTAAAAATTCTCGCGTGATATAACAATGCGCGAATCGATAAAATTGAAATACGATAATCAATCATTGAAAACTCTATTATATCTGTGCGAGGAAAAACCCGCGACGGAAAAAATGTTTTTAACTCGCTCTCTTGCGTTTTATAAAAATACATATAAATACGAATACACAGCCGGATGATGATTTCGTCTTCTATGCAAAACAACAATAATGATGAATCGGGACGCATTATCAATGTCCTTTTCCATAATTCTTCTTCAAATGTCACGATTATTGCCTTTACGTAACAAGATACGAAACGGCAGGCATTATTTCATGACCATAAAACGGTGTTACTTTATAGTAATAGTCGAACTAGTCGTTAGTATCTTTTTGTTTATTATATAATTTTTTTATTTTACATTTTATATTATTATATTTTGTTACTTTTAATATTATATTTATTTATGCTTGTTGTTTGATTTGATTTTGTTTTCGTGACACGTACACTTAACGAAAAGCATAGGAGATTCTGGGTCACAATGAGGACGCCCTCAAGGAGACCTTGAATCACTGGTACCTGGTGAGCGCTCACGTAATCGAGGCCGGCCATCGGGAGGAGAAGTTCACGTCGTTAAGCTATGCTGGTTTCCTGCCGGGCTACACAATGGGTTACAACCATCACGGCCTAGTTTACAGCATCAATACCCTTAGCGCCGCTGTCCTGCGATCTGGCAAGACTCGTGAGTTTCATCCCTTTGTGAAATTTCAATCTTCCTTTACAATTAAACATAAAAACAAGTAGAGTTGTGCAAATTAAAAACTTGCACATTGCTTCCTCATCATTTTATCTTACAATGCTTAAGCTGCTTTAAATGAGGAAGCAAAATAATTAAAATATTCCTGAAACTATAACTTTATATCATTTCTTCTATTCTGAAGATCTCTTGGTCGAGACAAGCCTCTTGCATTTCGTTGATCATACGAGATATAATTTGATCGAGGTGAAAAATCGATAAACATCGATCAAAGGGATCCGTACGCATCATCCATCCTGTGTAAAAAAAATCAGATAATCTTGTTTTGCACGCAGCGCGATACTTCTTGACGCGAGCACTTCTGGGCGTGGAGAACTTTGTGCAGGCGCAGAAGACGCTGAGGAACGAGGGCTTCGGTGCAGCGGAGGGCTTCTCGGTGAACATGACGTTTCTCGCACAGGAGGGCGATCGGATGTTTCACAACGCCGAGGTGGGCCCGGCCGAGGCGGATATCGCCAGGTCGCAGCTCAACATCCTGACTGTCAGCCCGGGCGAAAACACGTCGCATTGCAACAAGTACACGATTATGACCACATAATACATTATTGCGTCAAATATGCATACGCCGTTTAATGAGTTTTCTCGCTCTACAAAATCATCTTTCGCTTACATTCCTGCCTCAGAATGAGATCAATTACGCAACTTATGCTCGGCTGAGAATGCAAATGCAATTATGAATCAGATCACTCGGTTTGACAGTTGTTTATTCGCATTTCTGAATAATTATTTCTTTTTAAGAGACAACACGCGCGCGAACAGAAGAATACAACACTTGACTCGTTTGCCGTGAAAGTAATAATTTAGTTTCGAAATATGTCAAAGTAAAAAAATTGTTACTCACTAAATTGAAGTAACGATGATTATTATAATTAAAATCACAAACATAAATTATTATACACTAGAAGTAAAACAATCACTATACTGATAGCACAAACAGAAAAATACATACTATATACAAGTAAATATTACTTGTTTCAAGTATTTTATAAATTCATATATCCGCAAATCTATGATACTCTCTTTTCTTCGATAAAATTTTATAATATTCTTCAAAAGAAAATATTTACTCTTTCTGAGTACATGATAATGAGTATTTCTAAAATTTGTGACAAGTCTATTTTAAGACTATTATTAAGAAAATATTCTTTGTTAAAGATAACTGTTACTTAAAAGAAGTAAAGTAAACTGAGTAATAATTTACTTAGCAATAGAATAATATTTTTCTGTGTGCAAGCTGAATCGATCATTTTACAAATTCCATTTACAAATGAGATATTTGCTCAATAGTCGAGAATGCTGCAATAATTATATAATAATGTATGCATTGAATAATTAAATAATAACGTACAGTTTTTCTTACGCCTTTTCGTATTTCGTCATTATATTAAGCAATACATTTCCATTGTTTCAGGTATCTGCGTTTGAAGGTGGCAGAGGTGGAGGGCATGATCATACAAAGCAGCATCAAGAGAATGAAGGCGATCTTTAAACATCCGCCGGCTGAATGTCGCCAGGACGTGATCAATATACTCAGTGATCAGACGGACGATGAATTCAGAGTATATCAGGAGATCGGCAGCGACGATCACATCAAAACGATCGCCACCGGTACGTCCTGAATCAGGAAGTCGAGCTTATAAGAGTCGCTCTCTTTTTTTTATCTTTTGAAAATATCAATGCGAAAAACAAAAAATGAAATATCAGCCTACTTAACATTTAAAAATAACGCTTCACATATTAAAATTGTACGATTATATGACCATTAATGCGTAGATTCGATGTTTATTACGAAAATAGAAAGCATTATATATATTGGATAAACGCGCAAAAGAAATTACATCATTACTTATTTAAGATTTTCTTATCAACATTCGCCGAGATAGAAGTCTATTAAAATCCAAGCACGATCCCGCGTGTCTCTCAGAATTCATTCTGCAGAATTACCTGATAGACCTGAATGCAGATGAGAAAATTCTGTACCTATGAGATAATATATTATTGACGATTTTATTAATTGCAGGAATCTTCGACTGCATCGAACGGACGTGGTCTATTTACACGGACAAGCCGCAGTACAACGAGCCGATACTGGTAATACCTATGCAGCTTCGAGACTCCGCGGTTTCGCAATGCAACAACGTGAAGAAATAATCTCCGTCGCGCTTTTCATCTCGATCGAATTTCCGCCATCGTCGCTCGAATCACGAAAGTGCAGCGTTCGTATTAAGCTGACGCCAAACTAATATGCGCGTATTCTTGATTCGCGATTTGTAGTAATTACGTACGGAAATTCGTTGTTCGTTATTGTAGTTCCCTCCACATTATTCGCAAACTACACATGAATCGCCAACACGCGCATAGTCTAGCGCCAGTTTTACACGACATCATATACATATACATACGATATATATGTAACATTAATAATTTTGAATAAAAACTAAAATAAGTAGAAACACATTTCCGATCTTTACTCGTAAAATAAAATGTAAAAGTAACACAATGTGACTGAACTATAGAAAATATTAATGCGAAAAACAGGAAAAGAAATATCAGAGCCTATTTAACATTTAAAAATAACGCGTCACATATTCTACAAGATGTACAGTTCTGCTGAATAAATAAGATTTTATATACTATATAAAATCATCGCGCGTTATGTCTCAATATTTTTAATTGAAGAAGGAAAATGGCCGTAAATTCTATTAATAATCCATAATTAATAATTCTATTAATAAGTAGTTATTATGGCACATATTGAGTAAAGGGAATAAAAGTGTTCGCCGCTGTGTACTATTTTGTCATTTCATCTTTAATTCCTTGATATTTTCGTAATATGAGTACATTGTTGTGATGATTCTTCAGTTTTAGTAATTTCGGGAACTGTTCGCTTCCGATCAATTGTATAATTGTAAAGTCCTCAACGTAATCCACTAAATTCCAGTAAAAAAGCAATTTAAACTATTACAGAATCATTATCTTTTCTTTTCTTTCACCTTCAAACAAAATTGGCACGAAAAACGCCGTAATACGAATAACAGTCATAGCGCTTTACCCAATATGCTAAAAAAAATCAAAAGCAACCGGTCGATCTTGCGTTGCTTTCCTAATTAAATAAATGTACAAAACATATCGTCCCTTTGCACTTTTACATGCAGATATACTCCGCATATTTTTTTTGTTTCGTTATATATAATTACATTTTATTATCCTTGTTCGTATTTATAATTATGTATCTTTCACGAATCATTGCGCAAAACAAAATTTATAGTAAACCGATGTTATAATTGTATACAGCAGCTCCAGCGATTTATTAATCGAATTACAATTTTTAAATAGGTATTTAAATATGGTGCGCGCAGATTTGAGGTTACAATTTGTCGAGATACGCATTCAAGTCTGGGAGACCCTCCTTCAATCCCTTTCTCTTACGTGTATCCTGAAAAGCACACAAATTTCCATAGTCAATATTTCAATTACGATTGTAATGAACGTAACGTATTTGTATCATCGATCTTATTATATTTGTTTATTGTAAAAAGAATGTTCGTTTCCCTATTCAGGCAAACCAGGATATTATACTGGAAAACCAAAACTAAAAACGCTTTCTCTTCCACGAGATTAAAAATGGCGGTGACATCGCATAATCACCGCCATCAGTTATGCACGTGGTGAAATACGGGAAAAATGTACGTGACGTGAAATGTACATACTTGCACAACTTGGTATGGTCGAGTAGTGGGTTCCATCGGGTCGCCCGGCAGGATTTGCCAGTGATCGAACACACACTGTGGGAAAGCCTGACCACCGGTGTTGGAGCGCAGATCGGCGGTGAAACCGAAGGATTCGTTTACAGGAAGATAAGCTTTAACTACGAACATGGGAGTACCCGCCACTTGTTGTTCCTCGAACACGTGACCTCTTCTACGGTT